CGTACTGTATGGTCAAGTGAAGAAACAACATATAAACTATTGTCATATAGGTTCATAACTCACAGCTCAATGCAGATTTAACTAATGATAAATCTGATTCATAGATTGTGTTTTTGCTAGAATCTTTGAAAGCAAAATGGGTTTCTACCAACAAAAAGGACAAACAAAACACCAACACCCCAATCGCTGTATAGGTTTGTAGTTTTGGTGATCAAAGAGTGGAGCTTGTCTGGTATTTCTGGGCTGATAAAACAAAACCAATGGAATAATCCCATGGGGATCCTACGGATTGATCAAAACTGTGGGAAAGCAACTTCCAAGCGGGGCCTGCGCCTACATAAACAGTGACGAGGCATTGACGTTGTAAAACAAATGAATGTCCACTTTGCAATGCGACACGCCAGCCACATAAATCAGAGTCAGTTTGTCCCCAGCACCCCTGCAAACTGTTGTCATTGCTTACTACCAAATGTCAGTCAAAAGGCAAATTTGGATTTGTGTCCACTGTATGGCTGCATTAGAAACAGGAAACTTGGAGGAAATAGTGGAATGGACGCAATATGAGATGTAATTTGAAGTATTGCTAAACCCTTTCTATTTAACTTTGATCATCAGGAGGCAGCCACCGAAATGAGTTATCAAAATGAAATACTTTAAATTAGATAATGTTAGTTGTTTGCTCTGACCGCTAATATTAATATTCATAAACAAGAACTAAGAAAGGGGATCATATCACTCCTGTATTAACTTCTCTGCACTGGGTCCCTGTTAAATCAAGAATAGAATTTAAGGTACTTCTGCTCACCTACAAGGCACTTGCTGGTGAGGCACCGTTGTATCTTAAAGAGCTTGTAACACCTTATTGCCCTACAAGGCAGCTGCGCTCCATAGATGCTGGGTTACTTGTTGTTCCTATGGTTTTAAAAAGTAGGCTGGGGGCCAGACCCTTCAGTTATCAAGCTCCTCTTTTGTGGAACCAGGTTCCACTTTCAGTCCGGGCGGCAGATTCGGTCAGCTCTTTTAAGATTAAATCTTTCCTCTTTGATTTTTATAGTTAGCCCGGATCAGCCCTTAGTTAAGCTGCCATAGGCTTAGACTGCCGGGGGACTTCTTAGGACACACAGAGGTCCTCTCTCACTCTCTCTTTCTACAATAATCCACGTTTTATTAATGCATATGACTAATTCAGATTCTTTCCAGGAGTTTTTTGTGCTTTCTCCCCTAGCAGGTCTCTGTAGATTGTAGTTCCTTCTGGACCCTGGTCCTGACACCTGCCGTGGCCCTGCTGACGCCTGCTGCTGCCATCATCATCATCATTATTATTTTAAATATTACTTGTATTACTGTACTCATAAACCAACATTACACTCTCCTAAAGTCTCTGTGCTCTCCCTCCCAACAGGCTTCTGTGGATGGTGGTTCTATCTGATAGTGGTTGCCCCTGCAGTGGTCCTGCTGTGCGCCTGGCTTACTACTCATAATTACTTGAATCATTTCTGTCATAGGAATTGAATGTATTACACATCTTTTACATTATTCATTCTGTACACTGGACATCCATTGTAGTTTGTTCATCCTGGGAGTGGGATCCCTCCTCTGACGTTTTCCCTAAGGTTTCTTCCCTTTTTTCCCCATGGGAGGGTTTTTCATTTTGTGTGGGTTTCGGGACAGAGGATGTCGTATGTGTACAGACTGTAAAGCCCTGAGGCAAATTTGTAATTTGTGATTTTGGGCTATACAAAATAAAATGAATTGAAAAATGAACTGAATTAAGGTTTAATGGACTACAGGATGTTTTATAATATGTTTTCTATTGATTGATTGCTGTCTGTAAAGACAATTTCAACAAAAATATGAATGACTTTGATTCAAAATAAAAGTCAAAAGTAAAAAGCACACTTGACATTTGTGATAATGTAAAGTACTGAAATAGAATCACCACCTCTTGGTTGTATCCCTCTGCCAACCGCTCGAGTTGGAGTTCAGATTTTAATTAAGACTTCAGTTCTTTGATCTCATTAAGACATTTGTGTGAATTAACACATTCATTCTTGTATTTAGGTTAAATATACAAAAATATGTTCTGAGAGTTCACACGAATGGCAATTAGGTCCGTGAAAATTGGTTCCAAGTTTGAAGAAGTTCTAGGGGTTGCTGATATTTTGCATTTAAGAAATTGCACCGTACATAACCTGAATATCCACTGTTGCCGGGGTCAACCTAAACTACCTATCGTGAATTTAACATTAAAATCAATCTATTTCAAGAAACAATGAAGAAACTCTTATTATGAATCTTAAAGGTTATCCTTATTGAAAGTGAATAAACACCCATAACCCACCCACCCACACAATCCACACAGCCATAGTTTTTAAGAATTTTATTCCAAGAAAAGTTGTCAAACATATTTACAGCAAAAGATACTTCTCAAACATAAAATGGCTCCTGTCAGCTTCATTAACAAAAGCGGTTCTTAATTACCACAACATACCTTTCAGTACACGATGGAAATATGTGAACTAAAAGAAAAAAAAGGTTACAGGTGTTACACATAATTGCTTGAAAATGTGTGGCTGTCTGTACGGAGTTCACAGTGAGGCAGTGAAATGTTTTGCATAGTGTTTAGTGTCTTCCAGAAAGATCTTAAGTTAGTTCATATAGAGTGTCTATGTCAGGTCTAATAGGACTTGTACGGAAAGCAGATCGGGCCTAAACCTCTCTGAGAGGCAACAGCAGTTCCTCTATGAGCTGCACTTGCTGTCAGGGAAACCTTCACATTGCGTTTTCACATAAGCAACAGGTGTGTTTGCATTAAACAACTGTAACATCCATGATTGTGAAATGTATAAACACAGTGATGAACACATTTTTATAGAAATGCAATCTCAGCCAATTCTGTAAGGTGAAGGAGTCCTACACCTACAGGATCCCATCCAGTTTTGAGATCAAAATAAACATTCTGGATAAAGCCCTTACAGCTTTTTCTTTGCTTCCATGTTTGCGCTGTGTGTTTAGTCCAAAAAGAAGCATTACGGTCTTAGTATGGATCGACTGAAGTGACCTTGAAGAGTCTTCGAGTGCGGCCATTATAAGCTACTAGGACTCCCTCAGCCACACTAACCAGTCGGGGAGTTGTAGATATTGAATGCAGACATCACTGCAGAGCATCTCCGTAATGCAGAGAAGCTGCTGCATCTGCGTCTTTACGCACAGTTGTGTCGACGCACTCGTTTCAATTCATGGTTCTAAAAGTCCTGCGTGTGTTGGAGAGCAATTCACCGCCAGAACAGGTGGAAAACAAGACGACCTAGAGAGTCACATCTTTGTGTGTGGAAGTCGTTGGTTTGTTTATTTATTCATCATAGACTTTTTCGCTGACTTTTCACCACGGACGCATTTGTCCCGTATTTTCCAACTTTATACGTTGTTTGCGGAGATCTCCCTCCATGAATTGGAGGCCATCCGCACGCTCTTATAGTCCGCCAATGACGCACTGGCGTATTCAGGGAGTGGCCTAGGGTGGCACGGGCCACCCCTGAAATCTGATTGGCCACCCCAAGTGCCACCCCAATATCTTAAAATATGATTGGCTATATGCCCAGTCAGAGGCGGTCAACTGCACTCTTGTTTAGAGTTGCAGTTCCTTCTCAAACCTGAGAGGCAGAGATGCGCTAAAGTAGTATGTAGCCTGCAAAAAAAGGCGCGAAGAAGATGTTTGAGCGGCAAACCTACAGGTGAAACAAACTCAGTCTATGGAAGCAAAAGCTCTTCAATCTGATTCATTCTCTCGTAAATATTCTTCGTTTTAATAATGGCGGTTTTCTGCTATGAAAACGGAAATGTGAGACTTTGGAAAGCATGTAGTTAGCAGACCAATCACAGCCTTGCGGGCTGCGAGAGGCTTGCGTAGCTTTTGACGCAAGCCTAGAAAAATGGGTCGACGCACGCAAGGTGGTGTGAAAAGGCACGCAAGAGACACGCAAGGGGCTCTTGCGTCTGTGTGTCCTTGCGTCTCTCTGAAAACGCAAAAGCATAAACTAGGCTTAAGCGTAACTTGGCGCTAAGCAAAACGCCACAATGAGGAGTTTGCCAAAGATGGATTCACAATAGGAAAGGGAGCGATATTCGTCAGGAGGTTAAAAAAAAGAAAAAAAGAAAAAGAATCCCACTCAAACAAACTTCACCCTGGATCAGAAATAAAGGTAGATAAAATGTTTCAAAGTGCTGAGAATGAGGTAGGACCAAACGCCTTTAAAATGGACACTCCACTAAAAAATCCAAAATACATATATACCCTCCTATCACCTCTGTGTGATTTGTTGAGATGGTTTGTTGTGGGAGTTGCCCAGTTGGAGAGATTGTCTGTAGAGAAGTCTGCCTTCTCCTGAATATTGTGGAACTAGATAGCCTGTGGTGGTGGATGGAACCGCTCACAAGTCCGTGGATCATCTTGACTAACCAAGTCCTGATTTGATTAACATGAGCCACTGAAGGAAAAATGTACAAATAACTTTATTTTGGGGTGAACTGTCCTACTACTACCATTGCGGAGTCTCTGAACTGAAGGCAGAGGAAGGTGTTGGTCTTTCCTGTAGTCTGGCTTTCAGAGTGAAGGCCAGTGGAGCGTTCCTCCTGTGTGCAGTGTGCTTGCTTTTTCCCCTCTGGGTTGAAATTATTCTGTATATTTGGAGCTTGCATTTTATTCTTTCGTGAAAATTGCGGTTGCGTCAACGATCATCTCGGCTGTGGATCACAAACTAACCAAACATGGTCCCTGCTACACTACTGCCCTGCAGAAGCACCTCAGTAAAGAAGGGAAGGAGGGAGAGGGGAAAGTCACGATGCAGCTACTTTTTGGGGATTGCTTGATGAGAAATACACAAATGTCCTAGAGCGTCTCGATATCAGACAGTAAAGAAAGATTCAGCCGAAGGCGTCTTAATACTGCAAGAACGATCTGTTAAACACTATTCACATCACACCAATCAGAAGGGGAGAGATCAATGTCTCACTATCTCTTTATGATGATTGCAGGTTACCGTTATCTTGCACTGTATTCCACTTCTAAAACACCACACTCAACCTCAAGGGTAAAAAATAAACAAAAAAAACAATTAGTACAAAGTCAGCAAAAACATCAATCAGCCAACCAAATTATCATGATTGTTTCCTAGTCACAATTTAATTGAATTCTTAACAGACATACGCAATTTTGTCCAACAGGTGTTCTTTGGATTCATCAGGAACATTATCGCTAGTCCGAATTCCCTGCTGGACCTTGTTTGGTTAAAGCAGGTCAGGATTGTGTGGTCAATACAGGCCTGCTATTTCTAAAAAGGTGCAATTCCTATGGAACACGTTCGATGCAACATCGTTCACATTCATGAGATATCCTTTCTTAAGATGACCGTGGATGTGACACGGATAGAACAAGCCTCGTGGCCATTTCTTGATTTTGGCTACAGTCTCAGCCTGACCATCTCAATTCAACTGAGCATTTTGAAGAAAGGACGGCCACTGACTGACTGCATTCGCACACAACAAATAGCAAATAGCAAAGTGTGACATCATTAAAGGCTGAATGACTGCTCAATTGCAATTTTTCTGTGGACAGAAATCTGTGTGTGAAAAATAAGACTATTTTCTGTGTGAGTTTTAACCCACGGGGGGCGGTGGGTTTTAAGTTGTGATCCAATCGCACTTTGTGTGAGTCGGCGCTAAGGCACAGGGTTGTACAGCGCTGTGGAGCAAACTGGTAGTGTTGTCTGTTGTTCATAGTGATTCACATACAGTCATCAGCAGAGCGAGGCTTATACCTCAAGGTACTGGTACAGTCCAGTACTTCACCTTTACATTACAAATGTGAAAGGAAGAGCAGACCTTTACTCGGACTGTTGGGGGATAAACCTCCGCAAATATAAAACAAAGCATGTCATAAACCTGGTCGTCACATCCATCGTCCACCAGTTAAACGCCCTCAGCTCCACGATGGCAGCCACTTTGAACCGCATGGTGCCAGGGGCGCACTGCTGTGTTCGGTTTGTTGCATACAGGTCCCATCCCAGAGTTTTGGAATCATTGGCCGGTCCATCGCTTCCCGCTCAAATCATGATTGTGGAGTCTTCACAGTTCAGTTTGTCAGTTTCTTTTCTTTCCATCGGAGTCCACATCCACATAGTAAACAAAGCTGCAGGGATGCAAATAATGAACAGGTCAGTATGAACCACAGGGCAAAAACTCTGCTCCTATTATTAGGTTTAATAACATTTTTGGCTACCATTGTGCAGTCATAAAATATACACTCAATTCCATTTTTGGTAAACAATCCTCAGTAATGCATCTGCGTGAGCAACGCAGCCTTTAAAGTGGGAAAAGAGCAGACTCATGCCATATAACGAAATCCAAACAATCTGACATCTTGTCTTGTGTCACAATATCGATAATTTATATTTTGTCCTACAAGGATTCTATACATGTCATTTGGTAACCCAACACGCCTAATGTGTTCATTAAAAAATGTACAACTGCGCGATCAAACGAGATGTATTAATCTCACATTTAATGCCTGAAGACGACAGACCGGCCAACCACAGACTCACTGCTTCCCCTGCCGTTGGATGGGTGTCCGGATGCAGCCTGGCGCTGTGCTCTAATAATAGCCCAGCAGACTGGCGTGCCACAGCTTGCGCTAGCAGCGGTTTGTTGCTCTACTCATTGGTTGCATAAGCCTCACAGCACATGGCATGAACACAAGTGGGTCAGCTTAGCAGGCAGCGCATGTTGGGAAGGTGAATCTGGGATGATGTGCCAAATTGAGACATGGAAAGTGCTTAAACCTAGTTTATGCGTTTTCAGAGCGACGCAGACGCAAGACCCCCTTGCGTGCCTTTTCACACTTCCTTGCCTGCGTCAACCCACGAAAGCGACGCAAGCCTCCCGCAGCGCACAAGGCTGCGATGGGTCTGCTAACTACATCCTTTATGGAGTCTCACGTTTCCGTTTTCATAGCCCGATACCGCCATTATTAAAACGAAGAATGTTTACGGGAGAAAGGATCAGATTGAAGAACTTTTGTCGGAACAAATGCGTAAATATGACCTACAAGCCGTCCTTATTTGCGGACTATAAGGACGCGCAGATGGCCTCTGATTCATGGAGGAAGATCTCCGCAAACGTCGGTTTGCCGGTCGAGGGGAACAAAGTTGTGGAGGAAAATACAGGACAAATGTGTCCGCGATGAAAAGCAGCAGTGTCGATGCACGGGGCATTAAAGTCTATGATAAATGAACAATTTGAATGGTTCATGTTTACACCATAGTACAGTATAGACTTCACAATATGTTGCTACTGAGCAAAATAGCCATTGAGTCCAAAGGTTTCTGACAGAGGCCTCTCATCACTTATTTAATCCTTTTGATCTCTGATATTTGGACATTTTGTGAGTTTTAAAATTGGTTCTTTAAAAATCTGTTGCTCTGCCGTTCAGTTGGGGGTGCCTCGAGGTGTGTAATTCTTCAGCACTCAACAGTTGGGTTTTGATTTTATGAGAGCAGCTGTGAGTGAACGTTGTACCTGTGTAAACTTTTTAAACCCATTTTTAAGGGGCATGCCTTGCATACTTGACCATGCGCCTCACCATGGATGGGACGTTTGTCTCGGACAGTCTCTACTCAAGACTGTGGGAAAGCATATATTAGTCAACACCATTACACATGGGATATTTACAGTAACTGTTCTTCAGTAAATGTTTGCTGCTGAGGTGACTACGCCCTGTTGTAACCGTACCTTCTTTCCTCCCCATTAGTGGCTATTTTTGGGGGGTGAGTTGACGGCATGTCGTGGTAAGACATGAAAAAGTCTTCAGGTTGAACCCTTTCTGAAGTCAGCCTACCATTTTTCCCTGTGGGAGCGATTACTGCCACACAAATAAGCAGGCGAAGAAAACACAGTGAACATTCTGTGTTCCCTGGCTCGTCAGCCAGCCTGCCAACCATTGTGTGTTACATATCGAAAGCGGACTACATCGTTAAAAATCCAGCAGAAACCGGTATCTTTGGGGAAGTGGTGGGGGTTGGTTTCTTATGAGAGCATGACTTCTCAATACGCTCTGTGATAACCAGTTGGAGAGAGAGGATGCCTGTTTAGTCCTTTTACGAGCCCTGTGTGGTTTTATGGGCCGTGCGGCGAAGCAACACATTCCACTCGGCTGCCGTTCCCGTTAAAAAAAAGGTTTAGGTGCGCGCCTCCCAGTTTCCCTGTAACCAAAAACTAACAGAGCATGCTCAGCAAATACAGAGGTTCTGCAATTGACGATGACCTTCAATAAGTAGAAGGGCACTCTGGCAGAGCAGACCTCCACCAAAATAAATTGCGCTTATGTTAAAAAAGGTTCTATATACGCCATTCAAATAATTAAAATAGCAGCAGATAGTTATTTGGCTATGTAAATATGTAGCTAATGACAGCTTGTCTGCACTGCACCCATATGGAGTCAGCTGTGATAACGCACTCCCAACTAAAACTACTGGTTTCCCAGTAACAGTTGGATCCGTCAGCACTGCTACGATCCTTTGCACTTTTGGCCGTGATCATTCCAGTTTACCCAGCCACATGTTCTCTAGTGAAGTAATTCAAGGCTATTGAAAGAGCTCTCTTTGTCATAATCACTAACTGAATAAATTCAAACGAGGATAAATATTGGGTTAAAGTTTGTTTGTTCCAGCATCTGTGTTCTGCCAGTAATCCTTCCATCTTGAAGTTCTTAAGTCTTGGGACTGAGCACACAGTTTATAGCAGCGGGGCCGAGTGAATCCATGAAACCCTATAGTAATATCAGAGCAAGGAGGGACAATCTCTGCAACAAATTGAAAGAGACTCAGCCCATGGTTCTTTACATACATTATTTAAAGGGCAAAATGAAAAAAGAAATATGACCACGTAGGGCGCCAGCTGTGGGTCGGGATGTTCAGGCTGCAGAGGATGGTGCACTCACTGTGGAGATTAACACAGTGAAAATAGCTTAAAGCCCATTATGTCCAACACAGCCAGCATGAATGGGGACAGCGGAGTGGAAAACATGAGGATCCATGTTATTCCAAAGCACCGTGGGATGACAGTGTTTCCTGGACAGTATAGTTTGATGGAAGGCTCTAGTGTTTATGCACCAACAAGAACAAAAAATTGTGGATTTTGATTCACACTTTTGCTTTTGGAAAAAAAAAAAAAAAATACAAAAGCCATGCTTCACCAGAACAGCGGGTAGGAACTTGTTTCAGCAGTTCTCTCTTTGGGCCCAAAAGAAAATATTGACGACAACCTCCTCAGCCACTGAATGCTCACTTTTACAACCAGGTTGAATAAAAAAAAAGGTTTAGGTGCGCGCCTCCCAGTTTCCCTGTAACCAAAGTGTGCTCAGTGTGCTCATAACACGCACTCCCCAAATCTTATACACGTTGGCCTCCCTCCTGACTGAGCCACGAAGAACACAGCGTACCCAGGCTTCAATCTGCTGCCCCAGGTACTTCCTTTCCTTTAGGGGAGCCACATCAGCATCTTCTGCTGCAGTCTTCGGATTAAAACGTGTCCTGCTTAGCATTAGGGTAAGTACTTTCAAAAGATGGCAGACGCGTGCAAGTGGAGAAATTCGTTAACCCTGCTTGAAGGCATCAGTGTGTTTATTACAGTGCGTGCAAAGCAGGGACAACACCCTGAAAATGCCCAGACTTGTAAAAAGCCTCTCCCTGCCACCGGCAGAATGAGAAAGAATTCCACAGAGAGAGGACTGTACACGTGAGGGATGAGGAGCTTATAGTGCCCTGGCCTGGTTTAGACGGAGGCTGAACTTAGCTGGCAGACAGCAAGAGGACAAAATGTTCCAAAGCAGGCCTCCATAAGTCCTGAACCAGGAGCAGCGCTCTCGATGTCCAGCAATGAGGGAGGTGGGGAAGGGGGGTAGATGAGCACACAATGTGATGCTAACTCACCATTTTATAAGCATTTCAAATTCATAATACATATTAAATATTTTGTGTTTGCACTTTGTTGATATATATCCTGATTCATAATAATTCAATCTAATATCTATATTATGAAAACATCTCATAAGAAAACATCTCATAAGAAACCAAAGAAATATTTACCATACATTTGGCCTGTTTACTTGTGAACACTTAATAATTTTTAATTGAGTATATACTGTATATATATTGTCTGATGTTTTCATAATGTAAAATAGATATTAGATAACAAATACGTTATGAGCTGTTTAACTGTATCACTCCAGCTCCAAGCATATGATCATGAATCAATCAAAATACTAATAACATCCTAATTTCCATATCATTCGAATTGTGTGTTTTTATAAAGAACAGAACATTGTACATTACTTTAATTAAAAAGATCACATTTTGAATTTTTCCCAATGGTCTGACCAGTGGCAAAAAAGAAAAATCTGGATTCTTCTAGATGCTATACTGAAACAAAGGGATCTGTATTGGTTAGGATTAATCATCAATGATCGGCGGTTGCTCCCTCTTCTGTGCGGATTCGATCAGTGTGTAGGAATGTTGCACCACTAATATATACATATTTAAATAAAAACTGACATTTAAAAAAATAAAAATGTATATTCAGTTGTAAAAAAAGGATGCGGGTCACACATCACTTGAGACAAATTGAATAACAGTGGTAATAATGACAGGTAAACGAACCGAGCACCAGTTCAGACTGGAGACGTGAACGCAATGGAGATGGGCGGGTACTGGCATTCAAGAAGAGAATCCGATGCACGGTTTTGGATACAAGTGGCACGCATGCACACTGCTTTAAAGTTAGGAGAAAACATTTCTACTCCCACTGAAACAATATGAGCCCCATGTGTCGCTCCAACTCCAACTACAGAAAGTGTATGTCAGAGTGTTTACTTCTTGAGTGATAAGGGTGTGGTTAGCAGTACCTTCTCTAAACTAGGGTCCGACACACTGCAGCCCTCCCCTCATCGCTATGTAATCTCCCTCCTGTTGTGTAACATGCGACAACCCATCATGTCGCAAGAGAACAAAGCCAAGCAGTGGATTAGCACACAACACAGCGGCCATAGGACGAGTGGGCGGGGCTTACAGTAAGAGGTTAAGAGAATGAGCGCAGGATTGGAGAGCTAATTGTCAAACAAACGGCGGGTTCAAGTTCAAACAAGTGGACGCACTCAGGTCACTGGACATCCACACAGTGGCTAATTGATGTGCAGAGTTTACGAAGAAACAAGGAGTTTCTGCTCTAGATAGCAAATTGAGACAATTAACATCCTACGGGGACACTTTTCCTACACGAACACTACAACAGACTAAATAAGTTAGTTCCCGTCGCCTGTGCAGAGGGGAGGGAGATCTGTTCCAAGTGGGTGAGGTCAGGATTAAGTAAAAGTTACTCTTGTTTTTCCTCAACAGTGTGTCAGTAAAACATTTCCAATAATGTACTGAAAATATTCTGTGTCAGGTAAGGGTGAAAGACAGTGCCAGACAAAGCAGCCACTGTATGTATACCTCATTTTAGCTGTATTGATAATACTAAATGGTTGTTCGCTAACGGATGTGGATAATTATATGGATCATTTTAGACGTAAAAAACATTACTATGACTTTCTAGTGAAGAAAGGGAATCGGATATTTGAAGATATCCGCGGTACTAGCAGTGTATTTTCAATGGTTGTATTTCAAATGGTTTTATGGGAAAATGTCTGTTCCAAAAGGTGTTGAGACGACGCCAGACTGTCGGGTTTAGTCACGTTGAGGCTCTATTCAGTTGTGTGATTCACACTGACTGCACTGGGTTTTGTTGTCCATTTGTGCGCTCTGCTCACGTCACTCATCCAGTCAACCTTATCAATAGGTAGGTTTTGTGCGTCAATGTTAGATGCACAAGTTAACCCTGTTTCTTCCAAGTAACGCAACAACGCCAACGTGTTTTGCGGTCAGCTCACCCAAAACAAGAAGTTTATTATCTTACAAGTCAATAGTGCCTTGGTGGGAGTTCTCTAATGTTGGAGATTTCTGCTTTCTTTACAATATAAAAACTTCATGGCACAAAGCTTAAAAATCATCCAGAATCAACTCCAAGCAAAACAATCTAGATGGAAGAATTACACTACGTGTAGTAGGAAAATTACTTAAATATCTCTGAGGGGAGCGGTCCTTTGTCAGCGCCTTTTATTTGTATGTTATTACATTGTTTATCATGGGTTTTGGAGCATGAGGTTATGTCTAATAGAAATCTCAAACCCTGCACAGGAATCTATGCATGCGTGCAGTAGAACTCATCTCAGATATAGTGTGTATGTGTGTCATGTTGATTATAACAGACATGCGTCACCTACAGTGTTTTCCCTACCATTATAATCAGGGGAAACACGGACCTACTTTTATTCCTGAAATCTTACTTACTCTGTACAAATGTCCGTCCTACAGTGACAGGACGTTTCTGAAACAGTCTAAAATGTGGGAAACCACAACAGTGACTTCACACCACAGGTAGCTATTTACAGCCGCTGATAAAGACAAGACAAGCGAATGGCGTCTGCTAAGAGGAGGATTAGCAGACTTCCGCCCTGGGTTACGAATGACCAGTGTTCCCCTTTATTTCTCACTAATCACTTCAACAGCTCATTTCGCTGACGTATGTATTGTTTGGGCTAAAACAAACGTGCAAAAAAAGCCACTATTCGAATGTGAAAAAAAACAACAGCGGCAGAGGCGCGACTGTCTGCTTTGCAGGTGGGCGCGCGCCTGTACGGACTATATTGCATGAATAAAATAGACTAAATCGGCCACAACAGCTTCATGCACTGGTTTGATAATTTGCCGTTTCATGCCAAGGAAAAGTTCCGTGTTTACAGCACAGCTCGCTCGGAGCAAGAATCGCAACCTTAAATTGCTAGCACAAAACTCTTGATCAGCACTTTGTTTATTGTTGTCGGTCATTTATGCTTTGCGCAGAGAGCGCGACGATGCGGGAGAGAGATAGTGTGCGTGCGAGCGAGAGAGATCTGCGGTTTTGGCCGTTAGTTAATTTACTTATAATGCTTGAAAGCATTACATGACAGATAATCTGTAAATGTGTTGTTCCTCGTCCTCCTTTCAGAGCTCCTTCAAAGCCCCTGAAGGAAAAGAACCAATCAGAGCCACGCAGCCTAACGAAGCTGCCAATTACTGCTCACGAACACGGACGAAATGGTCAACCGTGGCAGTAAATATTCAGTCTTAAACATATCGTAGTAACGATTTATTGTAACCTAGGTGTTTGAGTCCCTGCCGCCATGTTATAAACAGTCAAACCAAAACCAAGCAGTGGCAAATTTGTAATTTCAAAGCTAAACAGTGACTAAAATATGCTTCTGAAAATACTTGAGGGAACATCGGAGGCAACGCAAATGATTAATTCTCAATCATAGCTGTAGTTTGACAATTTGATCGCACAAGCAGGGATTGACAACTACATCTCCTCTGGCCAGGTGGAGTAGGAAAACATTTTACACAAATGATCGGTCTTGTGTTTTGTAGTGGAAAAAGTGACAGTTTGACAGAATATGACAAGAAAAATATTTTTTACGGTTATCAACTGCAGCTTTGAAGAGCGCAATCCGATGAGTGATCAAGGAAGTCAAGCTCACCTGGGAAGGAAATGGGTCCCTTTTTAGACTGGTTAGGGTAAAAAAAAGAAAAAAAAGAAGGTCTTGGGAAGGTGGTAGCAGTCATGCAGCACACGTGACTTGGTCCATCCGCACCTCCAGCTGGAAGGCGTCAGGCCGGTCCTGAGGGTTGACTGCGAGCATGTCCTGGAGGAGTTTCTTTACCCCCTCAGACATGGAGCTCCTGGCCTTCTGAGGAATGTGGAGAACCATTTTGGGGTTCTCCAGCAGAGCCTCCCCGACGGGTACAATCTCCGTGCCCTGCCGTATGTAGGTGCCCAGCAGCTCGCGTTTGGACTCTGCGTCGATGAACGTGATCCGCTCGACCATCGCCCAGATGATGATGCCCAGGGCAAAGATGTCTGCCTTGGCTGTGTAGTGGCCCTCCCACACCTCAGGGGCCATGTAGAAGTCCGAGCCGCATGCTGACGACAACCAAAACTTGTTGATGTTGATGATGTTGTGGTTGTTTGTCTGGCTGCGGTCTCGGCCGCCCGCCGCCATTGCGGGGCGTTCCTCACTGTTCTTAGAGTTCAGGCCCGCGCAAACTTTACTGAGGCCGAAGTCGGCCACTTTAAGAATGGGCGAGCCGGATTTCTGCGAGATGAGAATGTTGTCTGGCTTCAGGTCCCGGTGAACAATGTTGTTCTTGTGCAGGAAAGCCACAGCGCTTGTCAGCTGGCGCATGAAGCTCCGGTTGGTCAGGGGGTCGGGGCGGCGGGACAAGACGTACTGGTTGAGGTCCCCGCCCTCGCAGAACTCCATGACAAACCAGAGGTAGCAAGGCTCCTCTGGGTGGCCCAGGATGCGCTCTCCTGCAGAGGACAGATAGGACCGGATTTGTAAAAGGTTCAAACATTTAGTATATTTGTTTGAAACTCAAAATGGCATTCCATGCGAGCAGCATGACCAGTGTGAAAAACACGCACGCTTCAAGTGTGAAACAATACACAAGTCAGAAACACACGGGAACAATTTTTTCAGATCTGAGCTACAGCATTTGTCAAGCTAATTATCTTCCAACGGAGCTTTGAGATGTTAAGGCGGCTCTGATAATTTAAAATGCAAGCTAGAATAAGTCGTAAACTGGTTTGATGAGAAACGTACTTTGGCACTGGAGTTCTCACTCTGTATGGAAGTTGACTACTTGGCTTTACACTTTGGAAACTAGGTCAGACAGACTGAAATAGTTAGCCAAATACAAATAAATCCTTTTTTAAATCTATATATATATAAAATAAAAATGTTAAAGTTATATTCACCAACTATCCATTTCTATTCGGTGTGCGGAGCAATAACAAAGGAAGTGGGAAGGAATTAGCTCAAATTTGATTGACAGCCATGACAAAAGCTAAAATGTAGGTTTTCAGGTTTGTGTGGGTGGTGGGGGGCAGCTTTTACCAAATAAATCCTCTGCATTTCATGCTACCATCCCACACTGTAACGTCCCTGTTGAGCGCGTGCAACGTGCAGTGGGGGGGGGGTTGCTAGCACGGTGCCAACTAGTGCAAGTACACAGTGTCCTTTTGGGAGAAACACGGGGGTCTATCTGGGGCTCCTATAGGTTTATTTATATATATAGTATAGACAGGGGCCGAAAGGACGGATCGTTACGTGTAACTAACAAAGTCACCCCCAGGACATGTACAGCAGTACGGTTTATGATACCCATGTGTGATTTAATAGACACGCTTTATTTCACTGTATTGCTGTTATTGTACTGAGGAATAAGGAGTTGACCGTAGCATGCATACCCTTGAGCGACGTCTCCACCAGGCGCAGGTATTGTTTCGACCTCTTGTTCCCGTGGCTCATCTTCTGCGCCAGGCCTTTCTTCTGCAAGACGCACTCCTCCAGCTGAACCACATTCTGGTGCCGGTTCTCCAGACTCGTCAGAGCCCAGAACTCGGCCAGCGCCAGCTCTACGTTTTCTGGGGCGTCGCACTGGAGCCTCTTCACCGCAACCCTGGCTCCCGTTTTGCGGGCCAGGGCCTCGTACACCACCCCGTAGCTTCCTCGGCCGACCTCCCGCAGCAGGCTGTAGCGCGGCGGCACAGCCGCGGCGGGATCGAGTCGGTCATTCCGTAGGAAGCCAATGGAGAAGCAGTCCTCCTCCTCCTCTTCCTCCTCCTCTTCTTCCATGGCCTCAGTACAGTTGTTGTCCTCCACCGTCAGGGAGCGGAGGACTTTGCCCACCTCCCGTTTCATCTTCACGGCCACCCTCCGCCTGCAGCCCCTCGCGCCGCCGCTTACCTGTCTCCTCTTCTTCCCGTCGCAAATATCCATAACTTCTTCTTTGTTGAAAGTAAGCATGAAGGGAGTACGTGTTTATCTCTCATTACTTAAGCTCAATAATAAAGTTTGACGTCCGTACGTTCGGAGAGGTTAAACGCCGACCCGTCAGCAGCGTGGCGTTTTGTCGCTGTTGGTGACGAAACGAAGGGACTAGTTTTCCTTTAAAGACAAAATGTCCCAGCTGCCAAAGTATCGTTACGCACGCAGAACAGAGGGCGTGGTGTTCTCTCCAGCCGCGCGGTGATTGGCGCGCGGGAGAAGTTGCAGCACGAGGCGATCCCGTTTCGTGGACAAGAGGAGAAGAAAACAGCGAGCACTTCGTTGGTTTTTATTTTGAAACAGTACTATGAGCAAAACACAGAGGGGCGGGTACACGTGTACACCTGGTGACAAGACCCCTCCTCCTTACGTTCACCAAGCTTCAGTTCAAGTCAGCCATGGTTTAATGTAATGTAGTTAATCTATGCGTACATGTTTTTGAAAGGAACCAATTTAACACCTTGGAACGGTTTTTATGGTATATATTTTACATAGTTTTACACCAAAATTGGTGTGAAGGAATGGATTGTAGATGATTGGAAATAAACTGACAACCCGGTTCATAAATTAATAATTAATAAAATGCATATAGTTTACACCAGGATACAGCCATGATTCTGAAACTGTGTAATCAATAAAGAAATGAGAATATGGTAACACCACTGTCATTTTGAAACTGTAATCAATAGAATAATACCAATGTACAGCTATGATTGTATTCAATGTAATGTAATCAACCGAAATGCATGCATATAATACTTGATAGCACCACAACTGATATTGACTGAGAGACTTTCAAAATCCGAGTTACACTGAACTCACCAGGAGACCACTCCCATGGGCGTGGACACTGACTTTCACGCCTTTACTGATCTGTATAAATACCTGTAGGCAACCATTGTTCTAGGAGTTCGTTGGTAGAAGCAAGAGACAGTCACTATGGGATAGTCAATGGGCTGCCCTGTGGCCTGTTGATTGCAGAGACCAGCGTCTTCTCAGCTGATATGTTCTTCTTAGCACAACACTGTTTCTTTTATTAAATACTTTTGATTTTAACTTTTCAATCCAAGATGCCTTCTCTCCGTCTGGAGTTTCTTCATTTTTCAAACACAACAATAGCCAACCGCATGGTACTGACACACACATGTGTACCATAAGCATTTTGACAAAATCAAATCTTGAATGGTAAATAATGTTTGCATTTGTAAAATAGGTACTTCCCTTATTTACGGTCCCGCTCTTCGAAGCACTTTAAAACTTCATGTCATCATTCATACACGGATGACAGGAGATACAATGCACTGTGCCCCTTTCCCATCAGTAAGGACACATCGACAAGTTGGTTAGCAGGGCCAGGGATTGAACTGCAGATTCTCTGATTGGAGGACGACTGTGCTCTCCGCTGAATATTTCTCTTTTCTTGCTGAACTTCATTGGATAGACTTCTCACCTGTTAATGGGTTTCAATGTTTAAGTGGACGCACAGGCCACCTTGGACCTAGTGAAAGACCCTCTTGACCACCAACTGGTCTTTACTCTTTACTGCTGCTCTTGTTTGTTTACCATGTATCTGTGTTTGTTTATCATGTATCTGTGTGCACTGTCCACTTTGCTGCGGTGATCCTGTGAATCTCCACATTGTGGGACTAATAAAGGAATATCTTATCTTATGTTACTTTCATATTTTGACATTTGGGCAGAAGCCCTTGAAGCCATTGTGAAGCATCTTAATGCAGAAGGTTAGCATGTGGTGAATGTTGTGTAGCGATCGCGATTTCAAGTGAATGTTTAGGCAACAGAATTACTTGGCTATGGTTAGGAAAAACAGTAGGTATTTTTGTGGCTCTAATCAAAAGGGGAATTCACTGAGGTTTTAGGCAGCTGCACTTCTTTCAGCAGGAATCTGACGGAGGGCCTAGTTTCATAGACTCTTTACTTTGCAGGCCAATGTATAGCCAACTCATTTGTCACATCCGACTTCTCCAAAACATGTGAGCTTCAATCCTTTATTTCACACAAAAATAACAGTATGCAAACATGTGTTAGTTTCAAACCGTACTCATTACTCACTTTGAGGGGGGTTACAGCGACTATGACTGCGTGGACAGCACGATTGTCCTCCAGAAGATCAGTGGTTTGCCCATGGGCAAGACACTTAATCCCAATAAATAGCTACAGGGACTGAGATGTATGATTGGTATGAATGTTATTTCTTGATGGATGGATGATATGTGGTTGACTAGAAAAGCACTGAAGTCCATTTAGCATTTTACAAGTGAATAGGGCAAACTTCAAACTAATTAATATGGCCTTAATATCGCTCAATTATTGTTTTTATTAGAAATCTATATCTAAAAATATACATTGTCTTGTAACTCATAACATGTGAGTTACTTCACATACTTCACAATTCTTCTTCTATGAAGTCAGATGGAGTTTGTTATTTTTCAGACTTTGCTGTAGGTCTTGCTTTTCACACACTCATCCACTTTACTTTGAAATCAACACATAAATCAACGTTTGCTAGATTATGGCTTTGCTGATGGATAAATCCTCTGTTGTATTGACACATAGAGTTAGAGTTTTGTGATAAATACAGTCAATGAACACCCATGGAAACTGATTGAATCACTGCCATCATTATTCTTGCTAATCACTCCTGTGCTATATGCAGGTCTAAGAATGAAATCTAATAAAAATAGAGATGCACTGGGCCTGTTTAGTTGTAGTGACCCATTTTTTGACCCATACGCATAATGTGAGGCATCCCACTGTAAAGAGCTTACAATAGTGGTGACTGTGAGGACTCGAAAAGCATGCAACCCTGACCTCTTGTGGCTGAGCGAGAAAAATATCATGTGAATTGCAATTTTTACATTTATTTTTTGTCTACTGGAAAGTAAGTGTATACGAGAAACCATCTGAAGGAGAACGAGCGTAATTTAGATGACCTGCTCACAATGTCTGTGCTCTACCATGGCCTGTGATAGAGCACTAGAGAACATACTGAAGCACTGGCATAAAGATGATCACATTTCAAAATGTTTGATTAGCAGTATAATGCAAATGTATTTTAATCCAGAATAAGTTGTATACCTCATTTATTTTGTATACATGTAAACATCATTTATTTTGAAAATCCTCTGATCTGTATCTAAATGAATTGAAGCACCATGAAAATATTTGTGTGTTCAAAGAGAGACATCGTCATCAAGTAAAGGTGAGGTGGATATTCATGCTCTGTGTGTGTGTGTGTGTGTGTGTGGGGGGGGCACTGACCCTGCCTGCAGAGGTTTTGTGTTTCCAGTCCTGGCTGTCGTCTTGGCCTGTTCCGCTCCCGGATAAATATCTTTCACAAGTTTCAGGGACATTTACTTCAGCATCTGACTCACAACACTCACAACCACATTTCTCTATGCCATCTATGCCGTTGTTACCATGGTAACAGGAAGGCAGATACAGCATGGAGGAGATATGGTGATGCTATTGGTGTCTTTTGTCTTGAGGTCTGTAGTGAGTTCATTATCTGGAGGTGATACAGGTTGCTGAATGCAGCACAGCCAACAACTGAAGGTTGTTCTGAGAAAAGCTAATTTCCATGCTACTACAGTTTTCTGATGGATGGATTTGTTTTTTATGTTTGTATTTTTTATTCTCAATGTATATGAAGGAAGAGTTTTCAACTCCATATTGATTTAATTCAAACCCCTAGACACAATATGACAGAAACACAAAAACACACACACAAATATTACACAAAGAGTACAGAATAGTACAAGAATTGTTTGGACTGTTCCCGCATGTCCTCCTGTTTAATGTTATTTAGGGACACACAACATATAAAACACATTGATGGAACATTATGAGCCTTAGTTCTGTTAAAATGTGTTTGTAGTGGAAAAGACATTCTCAGTGTTAATAGATTATCTCTCTTATTGTTTTTAACTTATTCTTAGTTTCTGCTAAAAGGCTAACCCTCATGTCAAAGGTGATGAAGTCAATAGAAAATATCTATGAAGTTCCAAGCTGATTCATCAATTGGAGCACTGGAGGTGTCCCAAAGGATAAGAACTGGCAGTGAGACAGTGGATACTGGGATCAAGGTTTAGGGGACTAGACACAGGGAGATCCGATCAGGGGAAAAGGCAGAAAACAAAGTTATCTAAAACAAGAGAAATCCACCCCGACTGGCTACAGATTTAATTTAATTGACAGATGATTGAGTGACAGTTTTAGTCAGAAATGTCAGACTCAGTATGATTGATTGGCTTAATATGACGGGCTTTTAGTATACTAAGAACTATCTTATTAAACTTGTTATCTTAAATGACAAATGCTAAAAAAAATAATAATTCTGCTGCTCTTCGTCCTAAATGAGCCTTCGTGCTTGTTGCAGTAAATCTGGTCACTTCCAAATCGGAGGTGTAGAGTCATGTGGCACCCGATAACACAGGACTTCACAGGTTCACTCCAACCAAGCATTCCAACAGCTCTGGGTGAGAAACACATCTTCGCTCGGACAGGAAGCTGCTGTGCTGTTGGAACTCAACAACTGCGGCCTCACGCTGTCTGTGAGGAAGAACTCAAACAAACAGTAGAGACCACCAACTGTCTTTAAATAAGGAAGACGATAGATTTATAGCTGGACAGTATAAGTAGTTTCTGTTGCAGTCTCGTAATAATTTGTTCTTATTTGATGAACGATTAGATAATTAATTAAACACAGCTTTAATTTGATACGTTCAACAATAGAATCATATTTGGTCCAACACTTTGCTGTTCCGAATCATGGATTTAAAGAGTTATCATCCCACAGTGCATCCGGAAAGTATTTCCGCTTCACTTTTTCCACATTGTGTTATGTTACAGCCTTATTCCAAAATAGATTAAATTCATTATTTTCCTCTTCTACTTTGCAGAACCTCTCAAGTTCTGCAAAGTACAATGGGAGAAACGGCCCAGAAATAGGTGTGCCACGCTTGTGGAATCATACCCAAGAAGACTTGAGGCTGTAATTGCTGCCAAAGGTGCTTCAACAAAGTATTAAGCAAAGGCTGTGAATATTTACGTACATGTGATGTTTTCGTTTTTTATTTTTAACAGATTTGCAAAAAACAGTTTTCACTTTGTCATTATGGGTTGTTGTGTGTAGAATGCTGAGGAAAATAATGAATTTAATCCATTTTGGAATAAGGCTGTAACATAACAAAATGTGGAAAAAGTGAAGCGCTGTGAATACTTTCCACTGTACATTTGT